TGAGATACCTCTTTGCCTTCCTTTATCAGTGAGTACTGCAACTTCATTAGCTATAAAAAAAATCTAGCACAGAGAAGAAAAACTGAGAAACAAAACTGAAAATTCAAACTGTATATGGCTGCAGTGCCAATCTAACTTAGACTGGGGCATGAGCCAACAAAATCAGATGGTTAGTGGTTCCCAAACTTTTTGAATTCGATCCAAGACATCACCAGTTTCTGTGAAGCACCAACTTGACTGAATATGTTCCTTTAAATTTTTGTATTTAAAAAAACTCCTTGAAAAGTGCACTTTTTATCATAACCACACAAAAGGTCAAATAAAAAAAAAACTACAGTTGCTTCTCTTAGCTATGACTTTCTGCCATCAGAAATGGCAGAAGGCGGTTATTTTTTACATAAGTGTGATCCTAATTGAAATTGCAACTGAATACTCAGCATAAATTGCAAAATTTTGTTGTGTTTGTGCAAATGAGGACTCAATATTGTGCTCTCAGATGACTGCAGCAGCATTCCTGATGGTCTTCTGCTGGTGTTGCCAGCAACTTCAGGGCTTCATTGAGCTTCATTCAGAGATAGTGGCTCACTAGCCTTGATAGTAAATATAAAATAAGGTTATGAGCAACTGTTCCTCTATTATAATTACAATCCACGCTGTACATTTTCTGACATCATTAGCAGTACATTTTCATCCACACAAATATAGTCATATGAGGCCGAATGTAGAAGCACATTGACGTTTGAAGGAGAACACTTAAAAAAACAAATGAGAAAAAAAAGACACGTTTTGGTAGCTGCAAATGTCATGGTGGGGGGAGTTTCCACAATATACAAATTTCCATTCGCCTAATTTTCCATCCAAAATGTCAGTCTGACCACAAAACAGTGGTCAGACTGACATCTTCTGACAGCAACTTGACCCTGAACAAGAACTTTAAAAAACCTTCCAAGCTCAAAGAACAGTTTGAGTTTATGCTTCCTCTGCATTGTGGTCAAGTTTTTATTTTGTTACTTTGACAATGCTTATTAATAAATCTTGATTGATCACATATTATTCTGTGCCTTCAGTGTGTCTCAGTACAGTGATGAGAACATGATGCAGCCGTACAATCTGGCTGTGTGTTTCGGCCCCAGTCTGGTGAGAGGCCTGCAGGACGATGAAGTTGTGACTCTGCAGCCTCAGATCAACGCCCTGGTGAAGAGCATCATCCTGCAGCATGAAAGCATTTTTCCCAGTCAGAGTGAAGTACAAGGACCAATGTATGAGAAGTGCATGACTCTCGAACAGGACGATTGGTGAGATGATGAAGCACATTTGAGGTTGCAGGTAAAAGTGAATGTGGAACATGTGGCAAAAAAGCGAAACTGTGTCTGGGCCTCATCTCTTTTGCAGTGAGGTTATTATTGAAGGAGAAGTTGAGGTGGATTACAGCCAAAGCAGAGATGGTAAATATGCTGTTTATTTTGACTTCAGAACCTAAATTTGTATATTAAAATATATATATATATCTTGCAACAGATTTAGAAATGGGATTTCCGGCAGTTATTGGTCCAGATGTATCTGCAGCAACTGCGCTGACAAAGGCTGAGCGTCCAAGAGCAAACAGCAGCGGCTGCTTGGATTACAGTAAGGTACCTGCAGGGGGCGTCCTTTCTGCGTCTGGAAAGCTAACACTGCAGATTCCAGTTGGACCACAGTACAGGCCTAAAAAAGCGCTCTCTCCATCTTATACGCGCAAAGAGTGAGTAACACTGCTATTAATCTATGAACCAAAGAGGAATGAAATACTCATTAAAAAAATTAAATATATTTACTTACATTTATACTTAGCTTTATCTGAATTTAGTCCATTTCTGATGAACAATATATGCATTTTTTTTTATTGCAACACACAATTAAATGAATGTAAAAAGGAAAAATGTCAATAATGTTGGACAGTTGCTTGTAAGTTTGCAGTTTGGCACCAGAGGAAGAAAGATGGTTATATTTACAGCTGCGTTCAGTAAAAGCAGTGTGCCTGAAAAGAATGAGTGAAAGGTTAAAATCCTTATAAAAGTTTTCATTTCCACATGCATTAAGGACACTGCAAGAAATGTGGACCTGTTTAAAAAGTGTTTGCTGATATTACAAAAATATAACAGTCACTGTTTAAAATTGTTTAGCATTATCAATAATACATTGTATTAGGAAAAACAAATAGCATTTAGTTGCATAAAAACTGTTTGAGAAATGGGTGTTGGACCACATTCCTGAATTTCTCACCTCAGAAACGGAGCATTTAATGTTTGTTCACAGATCTTATACTGGATTCATTAATCTTGTTGGTCTGGCTGGAACGCAGATGTCGCTCACTTCCTTTTAGGCTTTGATCGTTATTTTAGTAAAATGCTAATTTCAAAAGCATTTCCTCTTCAGCATAAGACAGTGTGACTTTTTAATTAAATTGGATGCCTTCAAACTGATCTCTGATCCCTACTGTGTTGTGTTGTCACAGTATCATATTATAAGAAACGTTCCCATATCATACCCGAGTCACCATGCTTCGTCTATTATTCAGTGTTTGGTTTTCACAAAACAACCTTAGTTTCATCAAACCTTCAAAGGTTATGTAATTTCTCTTTAAGTTAGGCGATATATAATTAGGTACATTAGAATCTTGTCAGCCTATTTTCATGGGCTTCTTGTTGATGGTGTCACAATACATCATTCACACCTTCTGTGAGCATCCTGGAACTGATAAACCTTTCATTTTTTTGCTCAAGAATGGTAGAATGTTTTTTTTTTTCTTAGAAAGTGGGGTATTTTAGTTTTTATTTATGTTTTTCTTTTCTGCTTGCAGATATCAACATTCATCCTCAGAGGACTTGTTGGTCAAAGTTGATAAGGTTAGTTTTTTTATTTCTACATTTAAAATATACTTGTTACAAGAAATATGTTTTACAGCTGTGAATGACGCAAACCTTTTGAAAATTGATATTGTGTGAAGTATTCGGTATTTTCAAATAAAAAAATTACTGGTATAAATTGATTATCAACAAGGTAGCTTTCTTTTTTTTCCTCTTTGCTTACATTTATTTTGTATTTCAGGAGGTCTGCAATAACATGGAGTCGGTCTTCAAGGAGCTTCTGACACGACAAACGCCGCAAGACGCTGCCATCTTGGCTACTTCTGGCCAGGCTCAACAAAAAAAGGGGAAACGTGACGGACGGAAAGGGAAAGGAACCAGTCTTTTCAGATCAACAGATCAACTGGACTGAGTGGACCAGCATCAGCACATGACAGCAAAAAAGATGATGCTAATGAAAACCGAGGGGCAGAGTGGAGGGTTCTGACAGCAGCTTTCAGCACATCTATTTCTAGAAACCAGAGGCCAGTGACCCATGACCCCTGCTCCGAGGCACCCGTGACTCAATATCCTCTGTCATGATTTTTCACTTTCACATCCGCTGGAGTGACTTCAAACCTGCAGTAGTTAATAAAAGCTGGAAATGACTTGAAATGAAAAGATGTTTGCGTAGAACTAAATGAAGATTGGTTATCAGCTGAAAGCAGAAAACTTATAGATGAACGTGAATACAAACTGAGACTGTAGTGATTGTATTTTATATCTTGTTTCCCATTTTGATTTTTCTGTATACAATAAATACATTTCCTTTATTTTCTAATTTTATTCCCAGGCAAATATGCACTTAATGCCTAAGGCTTGCAAAAGCTCTACAACAGTCAGATTTTTTTTTTCACAAATACTTAATGATGGATAAAGAACTGAACATAAAATCTGAGCCATATTGTAAAAGTTGATTTTCATTCAATTCAGTCTGCTTCGTTTCCTTTATGTGCAGGAATAACTGCAAATAAACATTCCTTATAATTTTTCACATGTTGCCTCCTTCTTTGAACATTTTGGCTCCCTCTTCTGTACATGAGTGTATCAATGACATTGGCTTTCCGTGCCTTAAATCACAGAAGCACTATAAACGTAAACTTTTTTTGAGATTATCAAAACAATAAATATGCTATGTCCAAACCTCTTGGCCTCTTTATTTACATGCCAGTAGAGACATGCTAAAAGCTGGTTAGCTGTTATAGGAAAGGTTTGATTTCTGTAATACCAATAAAGATTTGTTTTTGTTTTGTTCATTTTATTAATGTGGGCATAAACAATTTTAAGTGAATTTGTAAAGTGTAAAAAAGAAAATGCAGTTTTTGATTTTACACTTATTTTACCTGATTTGTTTTTTCTTGTATATTTTGAAAGAAATCACTGGTTAAATTAAAACAAGGGGTGTGAATAATTTTGGACCTAACTGTAACACTGTATAAATCATTAAACCAACTCTACTTACAGCTAGGAATATACTACAATAAAATATGAATAATCTACATAAAAAAAATTAAAACCAAATGTCCATCTTCCCCACTCCCTAAAAAATCCATTTCAAAATCAAATGAAATTTACCATTATTATATATATTGTTGCAAAATAATAGAATTTCCTGTGAGTGTTGAGATTTGGAAATTGAGATATCAGAACATATTTAAATGTTTCTGGAAGAATGTTCAAAACCAGATCTTGCATGAAAAAGTCTATTCCACTGATATAATTGGTCTTCAGACAGGGTCACAATATGAAAATACCATATTTTCTTCAGAATAGTATTATTTCTTAACCCCACCTTTTTAAAAAATATTCTATTGAAACAAGTACTAAATTGTTGCAATAATAATTAAAAAAACAGTCAGAATCAGCATGTAAATGACTACATGAATAATTATTTCTCTTTTTTCCCACATTTTTCTTCGCACTGTTATCAGATTATATAATCATGTTTTTTTTTCTTCTTCTTCTTCTTCTGTGGCACTTTTAGTTTTTGTATTGTGCGCCTTGCTGTATTGTTTTATATAAAATTTTTAATAAAGAATTGGATTTAAAAAAAAATGTCTGTTGACGTGTCTCCAATGTAGTTTCCCAGAATACTGTGCGGCGCTACGTACACCTCTTTGCAGCGCAGGCGCACTGTTGTGTTAGCGGTAGGCTGAGGTGTACTTCATTCAGTGTGGCCAGTTTACAGCGGTACTTTAATACTTATTTAGGGATAAAAAGACCCTCGTCAGACTTCAAGATGATTCGGATAGCTGCGTTTTTGACAACACTGGTGGTTGCCTGTTTGGGTGAGTGTAAGAGAATCATGAAAGGAGGGTCTAGTGTCTTCAATTAGCTTGTAACTGCTAATACTCAGCCCCTCAAAACATCCTTAAATGTCTTCTTGCCATTTTGTCAAGCCAGTGTTAATTCATTGCATCCGCTCAGATGGAGTGCTAGTGTCTCCAATATTTAGCTAATCTTTATTATTCGTTGTTAGCGGAGAGCTGCAAGGACCCAGTGATCACCCCGTCGGCCTACACGACCTCTGACGCCGTCATCTCGTCGGAGTCTGTCTTCATCGTGGAGCTCAGCCTGACCTGCGCTAACGGAGCCCAGGTAACCCAGAGAGCTGCTTCAGTGAGGTACTGCTCTGTTACCCAGGGGACTGACCGGGTTCTGATGATCTTCTCTGCAGAGTGTCACTCTGTATGCTGATGTCAATGGAAGACAGTTCCCTGTGACTAGAGGTCAAGATGTTGGAAAATACCAGGTATGGAGTCACAGATGGATTAATTTGTTTAGACTGCCAGTTTCTGCTTGCAAATTAGAGGCGCACGACGTTATAAATGATATCAGGCTCCATGGAGGTAATATTGGTAAATAGTAGTTGCGATATATGCATGTTTCCTTCTCTTTCTCATCTATTCACTCTACACCATTAGCATTTTGAGGAATGTCATTTGTAGTGTTTGCTAAATCTTCCCCACTATGAAATATGGTAGTTATAGAATAATGTGGAAATGGTCTAGTCAAAGCATATTTGCAACCTCTCTTGTTTTATGAGTAAAAATGAACAAAATTGTCTTTATTTGCTAAATGCCTCAATAATGAGGTAATATATCAGGATTTTTTTAGTAATGTCTCCACAATAAGACGTTTACTCGCATTTTCTCAGTATTTGGTAGAATTGCCTTTGAACTGTTTGACTTCGGTTAAACCTTTTGGGGATTCTTTCACAAGCTTCTCACACAAATTTGTTATAATTCTATTTTATTCTTGTCAAGCCTTTTCAGATACTAAAATAATTTTGGTTATTCTAGCTGACCTAAAACAAGAGGAACTTGCCTATTTTTATTTATGTAAACGTTTGATTTCAAATGTATGTGTTGGAATGGCGACTCAAAGGTCAGACATGAACATTTATGCTCACAGAAGCTCGGATTTAAGGATCCGAGATCCAATTAGAAACATTTTGAATTGCAATGCTCTTTCTGAATATTGAATAATAATATCAGTTATGATGAACCCACATTTTCCTGTCCCTTTCCTTTTTCTCTGTTAACCCCAGTCACTCTTTGCAAGCTTTAGTGTCTGAACTCCAAAAATAGACAAATTGTTCACACAATAGGTCAAATAAGGTTTTTGGCATGCATAATGTACAAAATTTACCTTCAAGCAGCTATTAGTAAGTTGACCAAACTTTTAGAATCTTACATTTTTAAGAACTGAACTGAAATTTAAATGGTCAACATGTATTTTTATTTATTTTTTCATACTTGTAAAAAGTAGAATGGTTACCAAGACTGGCATGTATTGGCTGTGGTTTAATTTAAAGGCAAAATGCTTCTACATTTAAAAACAGTCATGCAGCTCGATTTGTGGTTAACATCATGACTAGATTTCTCGACACGTGTTCTATTTGAGGTTAAATCCTTGAAGGGTGCAAACTTTTTCCTAAAAGAATTCTGAATGGGTTTGAGTCAGTTTTTATTCCTGCTTCTCTTCCAGGTGTCCTGGAGTCTTCCCCACAAACAGGCCAGCTCAGGAACGTATCAGGTCAAATTCTTCGACGAGGAGTCCTACAGCGCCCTCCGAAAGGCATGTTTCAGTACACAACGGTTTCTTTTACTGTAAAATGTTTAATCTCATTTTAAGTAAAATGTTTAATCTCATCTGTTTCAGGCTCAGAGAAACAACGAAGACGTAAATGCAATTCAGCCTCTCTTCACCGTCAACATTGACCACCGGGTGAGTCGCCTACAGATGACTGCAGCTCTTTTCATTTTAAGTCGAATAGCTTGGATTGATAAAGCTACAGCACGGCTAAAGCAACGCCATACAAAGTCATTCATTTAATGATCCAAATTTACAGCCTTTTAAATGCTTCAATAGATCCTGAATTATATTTTGTGATGGTTCTCTTTTGCTCATTATTTCTACGTAATTAGCTTTTTTGAAAAATGTGCTCTTGGTATTTGTTTTTTGTCATTTGTAGTTCTGGCAGATAAATCTGGATGTTACTAAGCTGTGATAAATCTACAAAAAACCTCAAGTAACAGGGAAGCAACTAAAGAGGATTCTGCTACTAAAACTGCCTTATTGTATATAAGTGATGAAAATCAAATCCTTGTATATTTAGTTACTAGCTGCCTCGTCGTGGTGATGTGTGTATTTAGCAAAACCTGCTGGGAAACAGGGATTTCAATATTTGGGTAAAAGCTGCCATCCTAATTTTTTTTAATGACTTTTAGTATAAACTGTAGATGAGGTTTGGTAATCCAAAAGCACTGCCAGAAGAAGACAAGTTAAGTCTTAGTTATATTTAACTTGGTTGTACTAAATAAATTGAAAATATATATATATATTTTTCTTAAGCCACTCTATCAACTCGTTATGTCATTTCCTGTCAAACTTATCAACATGTCATATAAACTCATGCTGAGGTTTGAAAAGTATACAAAGATTTTGACTCTCAAATCGGTAAAATACATTTTCTAACATCTTTATTAGAATATGATTTCTCTGGCTTCATAACTGTCGTGATGTCGTGCAAAAACACGCAGCTTTGAATGCATCGCTTGCATGTTGACCCATTTGTTCCACGCTTCTTCTTTCAGGGTGCGTGGAGTGGCCCCTGGGTGTCGACTGAGGTCGTGGCTGGCCTGATTGGCATCGTGGTCTATTACATGGCCTTCAGTGCCAAGAGCACCATCCAAGCATAACATGATCCGCAGTCACTGCCTGTGACAGCCGGATCTTTGAAAAGACTGAATTCTGGCGGAGCTGGATTAACTAAATCCATCACCATCGCTGCAGCCGAACCAACAGGCTTCTGCCGCTTTCTGCTTCCGGGAAACAAGCAGAGGTTGCAGTCTTGATTTCTTTTATTCAGGCTGTTTTTGTCTTTTCAGACAATTTGTTTTTTGTTGTCACAACCTGTCCTGTCCATTTAAATGGGCATTTTTCATTTTTTCTATCATCAAATCAGATTAATCTGAACAAACATCAAACACGCTCTGCATTCAGACCAGTTTAAAACCCATTGATTGATCCACACCAGAACTGTCTTCTGAGTGGGTGAACTGGTCAGAGTGGGACGTGCAGATGGTTTGAACGCCGGTCGAGTTGAGTTTTCCGCAAACATGAAATGTCAACAGAGTGAGAGCGTTGACTGGTCAGAACAAGGCTTTGTAGACGCGTCTCTTCCAGGAAGATTAATAAATGGCTTCTTGTTATTTCTGTGCGGCTTGTTGATTCTCTTCAGCTCTTAATTTTTCTTTCTCCGAAAGGACATGGGAAAACGAATCATATTCCTTAACAACGCACATTGGCTACGCTGAGGGGTTTTTAGTGAGCTGATGTACTAGAACTGTTTGTGTCTAATCATTTGTGTGACCATAGCAACATGTCTCCAGTCACTTTTTTTTATTGGCTTGTCATTTAAGAAAAATCTCCTGAGTCAATGAGTTTGCTTAAATAAGTGTTATTATTAAAAATCCAGCAAGAACCTGAGAGACGTTTAATCTTTCAGTGAGTCATTACTGCTTAGCTAACAGATCTTTTAGTTACTTCTTGATAAAATATTAGTTTCATGCACCTCAAATGTCTTTTTAAATGCTTCGACATCAACAGCAGTAAAACAACATATGATCAAGATTAGATTTAGAGATTAACAAAATCTCAATCAGTCCTTGAATGACGTCATTACAAAATAAGAGTAAACATAAAGAATTAAGAGTGACTTCAAAAGGAACTACGGTAATTCAGTAAACAGCTGTTTGGATCTGCTGGTGTGTTCTGATTTCAGAGCCTGCAGTACCACCAGGTGAACACATGGTGGCAGCACCGCGCTGCATTATTGAAGGCGTCTGACCCGACTACAGAAGAAAGACAAACCTGACATTATCTAATGCTGCATACATGATATTTAAATAGTTTTTCTTGAACAGTTGTCTCTTTCTTTACCCTGAAAGGCTGTATATATCAGCTCATTAAAGACATTTAAAAGAACATTGTTTCTGTTTTTTATGCTGCTGTCATCACACCCCATGTAATGGATCAGTATCTTGAGTAGCAATTTCTTTTTACATTTCTCTTTTGCTGGTCATTACCGATAATCTACACAAATCTTTGTTTTGTCTTAGTGTGTCATATAGCTTCTTAATTGACAAAGATCCTCACCATGTCTGAATAGAGTTATACTTTCCTCCTTCTGAAATGTTATTAGTTTTACAACAAATGTAATGAGACGTACCAAAAAGTTCAACTCGTCTCAGCAGTCCACAGAATATTGACCCAAAAGTGTTGGCAATCATCAAAATGTGTTTAGGGAAATGAAACAAGGGCCTCTGTGTTCTTGTTGATCAGCAGTTGTTTAATCCATAGAAATCTCCCTTGAGTGCCATTTTTATTTATTTATTTTGTATTGTTGCTGAGTCATGAACACGGACTTCAGGCGGGGTAATTGACTCATTCAGTACTTTAGTTCTTATTCTGTCCTCTTTTCAACCTGAGTAATATGTATAGTATGATATTAAGTCAATGGATTTATTTGAATCTGTTCTTCAATATGTAGACATGACATGTTACTTCATGTTGTCAAACTGGGTCTGTTGAAGTGATTTACTGTCCCCACAAGTGTAGCAGTGATTTGATAATCGTGTTGAAATTTAACTCAAGTTTCCAAAAATGAATTTTAATCATAGTTTAATCTCAATTTTAAAAAAAAAATGGGAGTAAATATGTTTTTCACTCACAGCAAAGTTATTCTTGATAGCACATTCCTCCCTTAATAAGTCATTAACAAACTGCTTTATGATATTTGAATTTATTTGATTATATAAAACTTTTGAGCATAACAAAGAAGGCAAAAACAGAAAGAATACGTAAGGGGATAAACGCTTATGCACGTAGCTTTATGAAACAGTTGTGAGACAGATGGTGGTTCGGAGAAATCCGGAGCTGGAAAAGACCCACACACCCATTCATGCAGACCTAATAAACTGTGGGAAGAGGGGGACAGCTGGATGGGTGGAGGGATATAAATGGAACGAGCAAACAAACAGACAAAGACCTTTGAATCGGTGCTGACTGACTCTCTTCCTTGTTTCCGTTCAGAACGGAGAACTCCAACCCACATGTCGATGTCGAGACCCGATGATGAAGAGTTAAAAACTGACTTACAGCTGTTGTTTAAAAAAACACAAGGAAGTGTGTATTTTCCCAGGCAGCAAAATGGTTAAAGATTAGTTTTTTTTATATGGCAAATTCTTATTTTCAAAGAAAAATACGTCTGAGAATTAATTTTTCATTGTATTTGAACAATTTTGCAACACATAATGTAAAATTCTCCTTGAGGATGCTTCCTATTTATAATAAATTGATCAACGTTGTTATGGGATACAAATATTTTTTTATGTGGCAAGAGTAACTCTGGAAGAATGATGCATGATAAGAGTCATCCTGTTTTTTAATAACGTGGTTTTATTTTTATGTATTGCTTCTGTTATTTACATGAAACATATTTATTCCTTTATGATGCTGCACAATAATTGTGTTGCGTGACATTTTAACTATATGCCAGGTTTCGAACATATCCCCTGATTGCTTTGATGTAAAGAAAAAAAATCAAAAAACAAAATTTTATTTTGTCGCAGCTTTTCAATAAAAAAAACATACAAGTTTAACAAACATTTGGAGACCAATAAGTTGCATATCATATTTCAGTTATTGACAGAAATCTTGTTCAAAAAACAGTGTGTGTTTGTGCGTGCATCGGTGGGTGCGTGTGTGTGTGTGTGTACTTGTGCTGTAAGGCAGATAAAAGCTGCTTTGACAGAGGCGCGTAAAGCACTGACTCCTGGGCAGACACTGATGGGCTTATTGGGAGTCAGCAATGTGGAAACTGGCGTCTCGGAGATGATCTTCACATGGGGTCACACTTTCTGTCTAAAAGCGTTGCTTTTGCTGCTCTTTAATCTCACTTTCTGTAAGACAGGACAAGGTCAACAAACGCTGGGCTAGCTCAGCAATCTTACAGAGGGCTGTATCTTTTTACTGCGCCGGCCACGTCCCTCTCTACAATAACAGTTTTTGTTTAACGTGTTAAATGTTTACCTCCTTCAAAATAAAACAGTTCCGAACAACTTTACTTCTCCACAATAGCTATTGTCTCTGTCTGGTCTGTGCTCTTTGTGACCTGCTTTGTTTGTCTATGTTTCTTTTGGAGTTTAGGCGACAGATCAACATCAAGTGGCGAAGCGGCAAAGAGAAATAAAAATGATTGATGGTTTTCTACATTTCTTTGCAAATACGGATCTGAAAGTTGTGACTTAGATCTGTGTTGAGCCCTTCCGAGTCAGAGGCTGGAACCAGCCACTTTCACACATTTGTCGCCGTTGCGACTCATGAAAATGCCTTTAATCTGAACCAGTCCATATTTGTGGAATGCATGATTTTACCACATTGGACGGGTGTAAGGAAAATTATTATCTTAGTTCATTTACTTTTATATTGGATGGTTATGTTTTCATATTATTCCGTGTGTTGTTTTCTTTCCCTTTCTTTTATTGTATAGTCTTAACTGTCTTTTAGAGTTTTCTCTTGAGGGTTGAACATGTCTCACACATTCCTGTGTTAACGAGCCACAATGATCTCTATCTGTATTCTGAGAGTGGTCATTGTTGTGTCCCAAGGATGGGACATCAACAGAAGACTTCCAGAACATCCTGTAGGATAGTGTATTGGTCAATTGTTTGCATGTCTGAGTGAGAAAGCCAACCTCTTTGTGTATTCACATGATAAAAAAGGCAGTTGGGGACTGAGAACCAACGGAGTTGACCTCAGACAGCGTTTGGCAGCGGTTCTCTCCGCGTCGAGCTCTTCTCCCCTTTTCTGCGGAAAAGTAATTTGTGTCTTTGGTTGATTCTTGCAGGTTGGGGAACAAAATAAACCCAACAACGGGTCATTCTTTCCCCCCTTTTCATACAATTATGCTCCACATTGTGTTGGTCTGTCCAACACATTTGGATCAAATACGCTGACGTTTGTGGTTTTAAAGAGACAAAATGTGAAAATCTTAGCGACATGAATATTTTTGTATGTTGCTGTATTTGCTTGAAATGACCTTTTTCCTCCTCTATCACTTTAGACACTCCCCATGCATGCCGTGTTTACGTGCATGGATCAGCTGGCTCAGTCACTATGAAATACTGCAGGTTCAAGCAGAGTAGACGCATCACAACAAGACATTTCGCAGCACATAAATCCTGTAAAATGCATACTGAACAAACCCCATAAACCAGGTTTTATCAGACAGCGTCCACATGCCTCTGGTTTTTGTTTTGTTTTTTCTTACTCTAATGAGACGAAACACTGCAGAGGCCTGTTGAGGTGGATTAATGAAAACAAGGCGTCTTAGTGTTAAAAGATAACCTCGATCCCAGAGAGCCACCATTTTTGAATCACTTAATATTTTTCTTTCTTGAGAACATAAGGCAGAAAATTTGCTTTGAAACATGACGAGGGCCTGAAATTTAAACACATCTCTCCCTAGATGAAGAAATTAATGAAGAAAAGGTGTAGTGATGATTGTATGTAACTTTGCAAATGTAAAAAAAAAACTCAATCTAGGGGTCATAACAGCAGCATCATTTTTCTTTTACTTTATCTAGACATGTAGTTTAATGCTCCTTCTAACGCACACGGCCGAGTTGTTGTGGTAGATAGGACTCCTGCAGTCTTGGAATGATCTGAGCACCAGCTTCAGCAGACACCAGGTCTGCAGACAGACCAGGGTTCCTCAGTAAGACAGATCACTGCTGATGTGATTTCTAATTTATACAGACAGCGATAAAGGTTGGATCCCCTCACCCTGTCATTCCTCAGCTGACTTCACACTGATCTAAGGAGAGAGGACGCACCGTTTCCCCACCTACCCCCCTTTCTCCGTCCTTGCGGCCATCCAGCTCAGGTCATTTGTTTTCCCTCACACCCCATTGCGGCCGCAGGCCCCGCAGAACACGCCGCCTGACTGTAAAGACGAGGTGACCTTGAATCTCGACGTTGACCGGTGTTCGGTTTAAAAACGAGGGGCATCAGGACACCCAAACTGCCCCACATGACCATGGATACATCGACCCATCGATCTCGTTTTATGAAAAGAGAGGAAGGATGATGTCTCCGGTTATGCCTGCTCTCTACTTTCAGGAGTCAAACAGAAATTCCCTGCAAGCAT